TACATGTAAACCACACAAAACCCAAATTCTGTAAACTCAGCATTGTAACCCTTATACCCTTTTGAATTAAATTTGGGAAAGTGTTTTTAAATATTAATGATGGTGAAAGTTTTGGGAAAGTTTGGAAGTTTTTTTTTTTTGGGTCCCCCTTGCCTCGGTGAGAAAGGGCTGACTTGTGAAAAAAAAAAAAAAGTTAAAAATAAATATATTTTTTTTTTTTTCAACAAGTCCCCCGTCTCCCCCCGAGGGGGTGACCCAAAAAAAAAGAAAATCCCCAAAAAAAAATGTTTTCCCTCATCTTTAAAACCACTTTCACCACCCCCTCACACATAATCACTTTTTTTCCCGAATTGCGAAGAAAAAACAGTTTAAAAGGGGCAAAACGAAATAAAGATACACAACATATCCCCCCAAAAAACTGAATAAATATATATTTTTTTTTTCTCAAAAAGTGGGTTTCGTCCCCCACCGAGGCAGGGTGCCCCAAAAAAAGGGAAAAAAAAACCCCCAAAAAAAGAAAAACTTTTCATCATTCAACACTTTCACCTACTCACACATTATCACTGTTTTTGCAGGGGTGCCAAAAATAAAAACATTTAAAGCATATACGTATAAAAATACACAACAAAATCCCCCCAAAAACTCCCAAAAACCCCAAACCCCCCCCTTTTAAACCCCTTTCCCGGGCCCGGTCCCTAGATCAAGGGCTTTATGTTCAGGGCCCAAAACCCGTAATCTACGCCATGAGCTCACCCCACTCTGATAAACTGTGAGGGTATTTTTTGGGGCCCTAGAATGAGAGAATAATCTATGTGGTATTTTGTGCACCCTTTAAAACAGTTTCCTGCAGCACACTGGGGGTTAAAATGAGAGAAAAAAAATAAAATCATGATTTTTCGTTTAAAAAGCAATTTTGCAGTTTTTTTCCGTATGTTTTTTATATTTTTGGTATTTGCGATTTTTTGGGTCTCTTTTGAAAAAAGGAAACAAAATTACAAAAATTTAAGAAAAATTTTGTTTTTTGGTTTTAGAAACGGGAAAAAATGGCTTGAAACTGAGCTCAAAGTAGCAGAAATTTTTAAATTTTTTCCCTGATATTCAAATTAAAAAAACGCCCCCCCAAAACTTTCCAAATTTACACGTCAGCTGGGGGGCTAATATACTTTCCAAATAGGGTTGAGATATTTATAAAATTTAATTACAGTATTCATAACAAAATCTTCTTTTTTTTTTTGGTTTTAATTTTAAAAATTATTATGTAAAAAAAAAATAAAAATTTGAATTTATTTGTAAACCCCTCAAAACAAAACTAATGAAAGGAAATTTTAGTTTAGTGCCGGGAAACCCACTTTTGGTTCTTTCTGGCCCCCTTTTTTTTAAAATTGGGAAAATATTTTAAACCTTTGTTTTTAAATTTTGGCCAAATTAACAATTTCCAACACTTTATTTTGTATTTAAAAACATTTAATTTCTTGGCATTTTTTTGGGGCCAATCGATAAAAATTAAAGAAAATACAAGTGAAATACTAAGAATTTTGGTTATTGGAAAAGGGGTTTAATTTGGGCCCCAAAAAAGGGGGAGCCCAAAGTGGGGAAAAAACGCCGATTCTTTTAAATTTCACTGCACATCAAAATTGCGGGAGCATAATTTCGTAATTTTCCCCCAAAATTTTTCGTCCTTTTTTTTTTTATCCCTTTACAAAAAGTTTCTCTACTTTTTCATAAGAAAAAATAAAAAAATTTTTTTTTTAAAAAATTTTTTGGACATTGGTGCGTGACCCAGTTTGGGGCCCTTTTGGCCCCTAAAAGGGGTTTAAAGTGGGGGAAATTTTATTCCCCAATTTCCGGGGATCAAGTCCGACTATATGAAAAATCCCCGGGTTTCCCTGTTTCCCTTCACTAAAATTTTAAAACCTGCTCACACCCCAAACCCGATCGTAAAGGCCCCAAGTATAAATTCTCTCCATTCACCCCTATCTAACACCTCATCACGCTTGGGGAAGTCCGGGGGCCCCCCTCCCCCAAAAAACCCACCTTACCCCCTTTTCCAACCCTTTCGAGGACCCCTACCCCTCTTTCCTTCCCCTATAGTTTTAAAATTTGTTTTTCCATGTCATTCTACTTCCCATCCCTTCTCTCTAAATGACCAAAACCCCCCAACCCAAACCCCCCTTCGCCCTCTGACTAATGCTTTTATTAAATCCACACCTTCTTTCCAAAATTTTCCCCACTCCCAAAATTTTTTGAAAAAAATTCACCACATTTAAAAATTTTTTTCCCCTTTGACAGGAAAATCTCCACTGGGCCCCCAACCCTCCTTTCCCCGCTGCCCGCAAATTTAAACCCCCCAAGCTTCCATCCATATAAAGTGTTGGTACTTTTTTCCAAAACTTTTATACCCTTCCCCTTTTTTGTCCCCTATAGGGTAACGTTTTTGCTCCACATATACCTAAAAGCACCCCTCCCCTTTTTTCCCTCATCAATTCTATGATTAAAACCCCATCCTTCATAAATCCCTCCACCGACCCCGTCAAATCCCAAGTTTTCTTAAAACATTCACTTCTTTCCCAAATCCCCCTCCCCAATTTGAAACCAATTTTTTTTTATCAAAAACATTTGATACCCCACACTACTCCCTTTTTTATGTTCACTTTTAACTTTTTACCTTTTCAAACCTTCTCAAAATCGTCCCTAACCTTTGCAATTTTCTTTAGAATTTTCCCATAAGGGACAGTAAACATCAGCAAAAAGTAACTGTGTCAATTCCCAATTTTTTAAATTTGAAACCCCCCAAAATTTTTTCCCCCCCCTCCCCAACCCCCAAGGGATTTACTTCTTTTTTCAACCCCCTCTATAAATTAAATTAAAAAAACCATGGTGACATTACACCCTTTCCCCCCCCCCTAAGACCCACTTTTTACCGGGGGAAATATTCCCTCTCTTCTATATATATTATTTTTTTTTTTTCAAAAACACCGGCCCCTATCCCCCCGAGGCGGGGTGGCCCAAAAGGAAAAAAGAAAATTTCCCCCTTTCAAATTTAGTAATATACATGTAACAGGGGAAAAATTTTCTAGCCCCTTTTCTTTTCCCCGGGATTTTTGGGCTCCTTTTACAAACGCATGGCTTCCGGGGGAAAATTTGGGTTCCATTCCTCCATGGAGAAAAAAAAATAAAAATAGAAAGAAAATAGAAGAAAACCCCGGGGGTATGTATATATATGCTTTTCTTGTATGTTAGTGTGACCTAATGTAAGTAGAAGTAGCAAAAACGTACCTAAATCTTGCAGTTATGAACAGAAAAAAAAAAACACCAGCAATACAATATCATGTAAAACAATTTTCAGGGGTTTCGTTTTACACTCGCTTGGCAGGACGGGTAGGGGGGGGACCTCCCCCCCGGGCCGGGGTTTCTGTCTACCAACCCCTACCTAGGATATAATAACACCTACCATTTTTGACTTACGACCTGCTCGACTTACAACCACTTGACTTACGACCGTGTTTTTTATGCCAAATTTCTGGGAAATAACTATTTGTGTTGTACACAGTGTTTATCCTAAACCTTACAGTATAAAATACAGTACTAACAGCATAAAAAGTAAAGTAAAACATGAAATACCAAAATAAAACAATAAAATAAAGTCATTACAAAAATATGTTGATATTCAGTAGTAAAGTTCGACTTACGACCACTTCGACTTACGACCACTTCGACTTACGACCACTTCGACTTACGACCACTTCGACTTACGACCGGTTTCTTGGAACTGAACTCGGTCGTAAGTTGGATGGTAGGTGTATTTGCTTATATAATGTATCATAAAAATTAACTAAAATTTGTGTGTTAACTTTGAATTGGCTCGAGTCATAGCAGTTAGCATGGAAGCAACCACTCTCACCTTAGTTAACCATAGCTAATACAGAAGTATTTGAAGGAGCGTACATGTACAGTACCTATTTTAATTTTGGCTGCTACCTTGGGCAATGGTAAATCTACGCCAATGACTTGATGCTGTTGTCCTGAAAACTTCAATGTGAAATTAAAGATAAATGTATTTAGTGTTCACTGAATAGTCAGGTTTGAACCCATGGTAAGCTGTGGGAACCCATGGCGAGTCATTCATAATGGCATTGAAAGAACTAGAGCACATGACAGCAATGCTAGAGTGAGATTCATTTAGTAAAATCTTCAATTGTGGTCACAGTGGGGCCCATGCTAGCAATACACCTAGCTGGATAAATCTTATTATAATAGCATGATTACAAAGGATAGAGTACTGGCCTGCTTGTCTTAAATCTGGTTTGCTATGGGTTTGACTCCAAGAGTTTGTCATGAGATTTCATGAGTCATATCTATAGTAATTTAAATCCTACAGAAATGTGGAACCCTAAATTCTCATTTATACTGCAAAGCACTCAGAGATGTATAGTGACTGCCTATGTTAATAAAATATTTAATAATCAGGAGTTTGATCATGTGCCTATGCATAAAAAATTGCTTCACTATTGTTATCGCTCATAATTTTGCAGAAGGTATCTGGAAAATCGTATGCTTCAGTATTTGTCAAAAGTTTTTGCAAGTTTGCTGATGATACTCTTATTGTCCTGAGTCACAAGTTTGTATATATATATATTTTTTTATCCATATGAATTTTTTTTCATGCTTTGGCTTTGCATGTTTGCTTATGTTTAGCACTATCTACAGGCTTTACTGTCACAGGCAGAAAGTAGTAAGGGGGGCATGATCCTTGCTATGGCTTCATAAGTAAGTGAGACCTCAGTGGAGAACATTAACATTTCTTCTTCTAAGCTGAGTTCCTATCTTGGTGATTGGTCACTCCAGATTCCCAACCCAAATCTTAATGCACCTGCTGTTTTCTCTAAATACAGCCAGCTTTTATACTTTTGGCATTAGTTTCTAAGTTCTCCACTGTGGTGAGACTCGGTGTACCACTGGCAATGTTCTGAACACTGTGCGTTCCTGTTTTGTCTGTTCAGCCCCTACTCCTGCTAGTAAGGAGTCACGACGGAGGGTGCGTTCTAGGTCGAAGTCTCCATTCCGCTCTTTCCGCTGGAAGAAATCCAAGTCTTCTCCAACCGGAGCACCGGGTAGTGCATCTGATGATGAATCGAATCTGGAGAGGGCAGCAGGTAATTGATTCCTGAAGAGGTGCACAACAGACTTTTAGATGGAGTATATTTATATATTTATATATACTGTACTGTATACACACTGTCACCTAGTGTATTTACTTAGGTTGTTTCATACTGCAGTGGTGGTGGTGGTGGTGGTATGTTAGGCTTTCTTGACAGTGGAAAGATTATTGAAAAGAACCCAGTTGACAATTATTTTAATATTTTTGGATACATGGTTTAGTTGAGTGAATGGATGGAGGGGGAAAGATAGAATAGCTTGGCTACTAGCAATAAGCTCTTGCTTTATAGTAATCAGTGAGTGCATTTCATCCAATCCCCAAAAGATAAAATGCACAGAGCATTGTATGACATATTAGATCTCATATGAGGCTGAGTTCATGTTATCTTTCCCTAACATGCAGCCCCAAAACACCCACCCTCAGTGGCCCCCACTACAACTGCTACCACGGCAGCGGCCCCCACAACCCCAGCCCCAGCCAAGGAAGGTATGGTTGGGATTTTGATCAAATCTAGTTTGTACCCAAGTTCAGCATATATGCTCTTAGTTTTGTGGGCACATTTTTGTCTAAATTTTTTTTTTGTGCAAGTGAATTTGGTTTATTGTAATTATTTTTATGGACATTTTTTATTATATGATTTATTATTAATTTTGCACTCTGTGCTAAATTGCAATTCTCACTCTCCCCTTTTAAGTTTTAATGAATTCCCTTACATACATTTGTCATAAGCTTTTAGTATTAGTTTAAAGAAAGAGCAGTTTGCTGTGCATTGAATCATAGTACTGTATCAACATTTTATACAATATAAGATATTGCAAAAGCTTATCATAATTGGAGTGCTTTTAATATTTTTAAGCATTCATGGAGGCATTTTTGTGTTTGGGTCTATATGTTGGTTGTGAATTGTAGTGCAGTATGTTGTGGAGATTTTGTTCTGGCAGATAGAGTACATACATCACGGTTTTTAGGGTTATATGTTCTGTACTGTTATATTTTTGGTTAGCTACATGATGTAGCATAATGTGATGTTTTTATAGCTAGTAAGTAAGTGCTTTAAAATTTGCCTTGAATATGTTTCAGAATGTATACATTAAGTAATTACAATATACCTACATAATTTTTAGCTAATATGCATGAATTGATGCATGATTATCATTCTGAATGCTACTTTAAGTTTCAACATGATTATTTAGGGTATATTTTGCATTTCCATTATTTTATGTAATATTATCATTGTTATGCATAGTTGTAACTAACATAATAAATAGATATTTTGTAAATACTATATTCCTGATTCTGTTCCAAACATTTATGAAATATATTTTCTATTATAAAAATAGAGCTTATGATATATCACAGATGTATATTTTTTATACATATTTATTCCTTTCCACTAAATAATTGTATATTTGGTACAGAACGCCCAAGCCCCAGTGGAGATGAAGATCAACTAGAAGGCAGTTTGGTGCGTAAACATGAATGGGAATCTACCACAAAGAAGGCCTCAAATCGGTAAGAACAAAACAGCTATACAGGGTATTTGGGTTTCTTTGGATGCTTAGCATTTCTGTTGTGTGAAAATGATGAAACTTTAAATGCAGTATTTAATGCACAGTATATATAATATACATCTATGCGGGATGGGAAATGGCCTTTTTCAGAATGGCACAGACATCTGAATCCAATATTTACTTAACAAATGCAACTCCCTCCACCCTAGTTTTGAAATACTTGCACTATAAAGTTTCTCATTTAGTGATTTCAAAGTTCTACATGGAAATTACAAGGTAAAAATGGCAGAAGTAACCACTCTTCATAAAGGAAACAGCAGAGCAATGGCAATAAATTAGACAGTAGTACATATCATGCACTGTTATTATAATCACAGGGAAGTGCTAAACCCGTAGGATTATACAGCACATGGGGGGGTGGGGATGGAAGGTATTCAGGCTCAATTCAGGGAACCGGAGCACAGATCCAACTCCCTAGATCAAGAGCCCCTCACCAACATCAAGGAACCTCCCATTAACACGATTAACTGATTTTGTGGATTATTATTATTATTATAATCAAAAAGAAGCGCTAAGCCACAAGGACTATACAGCTGATTTTGTGGAGAAACACGACTTAAGATTAAGATCATGCCTGTCACACCTGTAGACCACTATAGTAGGAAACAGCTAGTGTACTAATAAATTGGTAGAGTGAAATTCTTAGGATAAGTCACTTGTATGAATTGGACCAGAATATTGGGGGACACTAACCACTATTTGGAGTAGGTAAAATTGCAGATCTGAAGAATGTAGACATTTTATAAGGCATTACCTTCCAATCCCGAATCAGTTTATGTAAGGAATTTAATGCTGTATAGAAGTTCAAATTACTTTTTCTAGTAATTTTATGATTACACTTTCATGTTTTCCTTTATATGGTTGTACCTTTGCCACTTTCAGGTGTTACTTCACGCAATATTAAAGGATTTGTTAAAATTTGTTATTGGCTTCCATAGTATTTAAATTCCTTTTCTTTGTGTGGTAGTGATATTTCTTTGGGTCCTGATGCCTTTGATGTGTCAAGTTCTATTAGGAATCTCAATGCAATTTTGCATTACAATCCACTGCTTAGATATGGATTGGACAAGTTAGCAGTTTGTTTCTGAATTTAAATTAATTTTGATCAAAATTTTTTTTAAAGATATTTTGGCATGATGCTGAACCCTCCTGCGGGCCATTTTGGAAACACGAATTTTGAGTTTAAAGTGAAAAGTATAATTTCTATTTATCAAATGAGTGCCTTCAGTGTTTCTTACAGAATTCAGAATACTTTAGCAGTGGAATTATAGCACACAGTTTCTTTCAAAACTAATGCAGCATTTTAATACAAATATCACTGAATCTGTATACGTGTTTTTAGGTCTTGGGACAAAGTTTTCCTGGTGCTTCGTGGAAATATGCTATTCTTCTACAAAGATCGAAAGAGCTACCAAGCTGCTCCTGATGTTTACTTCAGAGCTGAAGCTCCTTGTGATGTCTCAGGTGGTCAAGCATCGATCGCTGATGACTACACAAAGAAGAAGCACGTTCTGCGACTCAAGTAAGCACTGTATAGTATACTGGGATGACTATTGAAATTCTTACCCTATTAACATTAAAAATGCAGTTAAAGAGCATTAATTTGATTACAAATATACTTATTGATTATTAAAATGTAAAGAATGTTAGTTTATTTAGACAGTTAAAAGGGAGATATGAATCATATTTAAATTTGAATATATCGTTGAGAAAATGAAACAGATGGTATGTTTTATTTCACAGTGGTAATAATTTCTCAGTACTACTGTATTATTATTAACAACTTAACTGTCTAAACGTAGATCTACGTTCTCTTGCCCGGTGCTCTGAATATTTAAAAAATAAATTGAGGACATTTTCTTAAATATAAAAAAATTTTTAGTCAGTACTTATGGTGATATAAGGCCGCAAAGTCGGTGCTTGTTACTCGCCTGACGGCAACATGAAGCGCTACCACTTGCAGAAGTGTTGCTGTTATACCCTTTTTCTTAATTTTTTTTTTTTAATTTATAAAATTTTTGTTCTGATAATTACAATTTGTAGTAGTTCTTGTGATTTCATAGCCAAACTTTTTGACACTAATATTAGGTATTGAAATAGTACTCAAATAGTCATAAACACAGTGACAGGTGAACATTTTCACCTACCTTAGTCACATGCTGTTGTCTAGAAATATATATACATAGCATTTATAGGTCCCAGCAATGTTTTGGACACATAGGAGTACAGTGGAACCTCAAAAATCGAACTTTCTTCGGTCCAGAAGGCTGTTTGTGTGCTGATACTGAACTAAATTATTCCTATCAGGAATAATGTAAATTAGATTAGTCCATTTCAGATCCTCAAAAATATACTTATAAAAGCACTTAAAAAATATACTTACATAACTGCTTGAGTTGGGAGCAGTTCGATTTTTGAGGTTCCACTGTATGTATGAAACTCCTAGAAGCATTGTGTAAGACGAGTGTCACTCCACTGCTGAGAGTGCAGCAGTGGAGTGACATTTGATGATGGTGCACTGCCTTGGCTTTGTTTTCACTGTTACACACCAACATGTGTCTGTCTAACTCTGTTTATCTGTCTTTCTGTCTGTGCTTGTCTCTGTCTCGGGGAGAGTGACTCGTGAACCAACAGGTATTACACACAATGCAGAGTAGCCATGTCTGATTCCTGAACAAGTGAAAATGTGTATTACTTGCCAGTCATGCTTATTATGCATTATATCTACAAGCACAGTATTACACTTCGTCTTGATTTTTTGGGTTATCCTAGGTTGGAGAGAGGGGGTAAAGGAGGTTTTGTGGGTAAGGGGCTTGGACTTCCAGCAAGCGTGCGTGAGCGTGTTAGATAGGAGTGAATGGAGACGAATGGTACTTGGGACCTGACGATCTGTTGGAGTGTGAGCAGGGTAATATTTAGTGAAGGGATTCAGGGAAACCGGTTATTTTCATATAGTCGGACTTGAGTCCTGGAAATGGGAAGTACAATGCCTGCACTTTAAAGGAGGGGTTTGGGATATTGGCAGTTTGGAGGGATTTGTTGTGTATCTTTATATGTGTATGCTTCTAGACTGTTGTATTCTGAGCACCTCTGCAAAAACAGTGATAATGTGCGAGTGTGGTGAAAGTGTTGAATGATGATGAAAGTATTTTCTTTTTGGGGATTTTCTTTCTTTTTTGGGTCACCCTGCCTCGGTGGGAGACGGCCGACTTGTTGGAAAAAAAAAAAAAAATTGTATGTGTATCTGTGAGACAGAGAGAGATACAGCAGCAGGGAGAGATACAGCAGCAGGGAGAGATACAGCAGCAGGGAGAGATACAGCAGCAGAGAGAGAGAGCAAGACAGATACAGGAAGACAGAGAGAGATATATAGAGAGACAGAGATAAAAACAGCCAATCAGCCAGCTGACGAGCCAGCCATATTACAATCTCCAGAATTATTTCTCTTTACTTAGTACATAGGTTATAGGAAATTCTGGCAGGATGACACTACCAGTGGTACCAAAATTGAAAGGATGTTGCACATGGGTTATTATTGAGGTTTTTGATATTTCCTCGACCACTTGTGGCCACATCCACCTCAAAGCCACTAAACTTGGGGTCAATAACACTTTCCTCTTAAAAAGGGAGTGTTAATATGACACTACATCAGTGAATCCCTGGTGTTTGCTGCTCTGTTTGCTCTAGTTGGAGCTAAATTGGACTGGTGTTCCCACAAGGTACTAAGTGGTCCCAGATTTTCTTAATATGTACTGAGAACACTTGAGTGTTAAGACCCATTCTATGCTGACCAGGCATCTCAGGTCAATCGTGCCAAATTTGGAGGAAGGAAAATTAAAGTGATCTACGTTTGGAGCGCTAGCGGTAACAACGTAGATCTATGTTTGGACAGTTAAGGAGTTAAACCTGGGTGGGCTTGAAAGGGTAAAGCTCATTTAACATGTTTCAGGTAAGTTTCTCTAATGACATTTTAAGTGATTTTTCACGGAAATTTACATTATTTCATTTTATTTTTAATACTCATAATACTGAGTTTAATTTTAAAGGTTAGGTTTTGCAGTATAGTACATAAAACACAAGCGTTAATTAATCATCATAAGTTTGTCTCCTATGTGTTGGTTCTTAGTGTATCGATCCCGAGATCTTTGCCACAAGTCATGCCAAGAAAAAGTTCAAGCGTTAAAATTGCCAGTACAGTACTGAATACAGGTGGTTTTAAATTCTATATTACAAAACTATTTCTTGGCATTTCATTGAAATTTAAAGGAAGGAGAGAGCTAGGTTCTGATTGTCCTTACATTTGTGGAACACAAAACATACACAAGAATAGGCTGAAACAATTGACACAACCCAAAATTTAGTGATGAAAGTTCATATGATATTTTGGTTTGTCATGTGACTATTATCAAATCACAGCAATGAGAAAAACCAGAGACCAGAAAACACCTGTACTTTAAAAGTAGTAATAGCAGTAGGATAAACTTGGAATGTAGGCTATTTGTGAATCTTAAGTGCCTTTAGTGATAGTTGTGATTACTATGGGAGAATTTGATAAATCCCTTCACTTTAATTTTACCCAACAGAAGCTCCATATTGTGATCATAACTTTGCAGTACTATCTGATTGTGTACAGTAGAAAGGACTAGAGCCTTTTGTTTCCCTGTCACCCATGATGTTACTTTTTTTTTTACTTCCTCTTACTCTTATGACACCTAATTCACAAAGGATATTCAAACATTCCTGTTTTGTGGGTTTCGTTATTTTTTGAAGTCATCATATTGTGACTTTTTGGTCATGAGTTGCCAGCTGCTCTCTTATCCCAAAGAGACACTTGAGAATTGATGAAGGCATAAGTGAGGCTGTAAGAGTAAACAGAGAGAAGGGATTGGGATAGTAGGTAAAAACAAGAAGATGCAGTTTGGGGGGTGAAAAAATGAGCCGATTTTAGAGTACAGTGGTCCCTCAATTATCGTCCTTAATCCGTTCCTGGAAGTGGGACTGTTATCGAAATAGACTATTTTCGAATCAATTTTCCCCATAAGAAATAATGTAAATCCAATTAATTCGTTCCAGACACCCAGAAGTATCAACAATTTTTTTTTTTTTACCTAAAAGATAGATTTATATGCACAAAAGAATGAACATTCAACATGACAATTACCTTTATTGAAGGCTGTTGTTGATGAATGGAAGACAGGGAGGAGCAGAGAGGGAAGAAAGGTTATTGTTTGGAAGGGGAATCCCCCTCCATAAGGACTAGGTCACTTCAGGGGTCACTTCCGTAGCATAAATATAGATTTACATGCAGAAAAAAATGCCAAATAAATGTAAAGTACTAATAAAATGTATAAATGAACATTGGTAATAGAGGTAGTTGATGAGTGAAACAGTCTGCCTAGTAGGGTGATCGAAGCTAAAATATTGGGTAGTTTCAAATTTAGGTTGGATAAATACGCAAGTGAGAGGGATCCAATTTGAGTCGGACCTGCACCTGAGCTTATTGCTTGGGTAGCATTTGTTCTGTTAGTGGGTTGGATTTGTGAAGGACTGGCCTAGTATGGGCCAGCAGGCCTACTGCAGTGTTCCTCCTTTCTTATGTTCTTATTGGAGACTTGTTTGTGTGAGGGAGGGATGGCAAGTTTATTGTTGGAGAATGTGACACTAATATCAACTCTCCGGCTTATTTATCTATCACAATTCAACTAATATGACATAATAAACAATATTAATAACATAGAAGCATGGAATATACTCTAGAATGAATAAAATAAGTCATTACGTATGTCACGAGAGGTGTTGTGTTGTTGTTGGGTATATAAGGGCCACTGAGAGTAAGCCGTCCATAATGGTGGTGAAGCAGCAGCTGAGGCGGCGGCGTTTTCTGTAGCCCTATATAACTCCAACAACATTGGAGGAGTTGGTAGAATTGCTGAATCACTAAACAAGGAACCCTCTTACCACCATCACTACAATTACTACCACCATCAACCACTATCACAACTGCTTCCACTCTACCACCACCACCTTTGTATTTTTCTACAAACTTTTTCATAAATTGTGTGTGTTTCTCACATTCTTTACCAAAGGGCTGGCATTAGAAGCTTTCTTTGGAGCAATGGTAGCTTATTTAGCACTTGCAAGAACTAAAATCAATGGAATACAGTGGACCCCCTGTTAACGATATTTTTTTCATTCCAGAAGTATGTTCAGGTGCCAGTACTGACCGAATTTGTTCCCATAAGGAATATTGTGAAGTAGATTAGTCCATTTCAGACCCCCAAACATACACGTACAAACGCACTTACATAAATACACTTACATAATTGGTCGCATTGAGAGGTGATCGTTAAGCGGGGGTCCACTGTATTATAAAATATTTCGTAGGAGCATGTGAGGGGACCGTCGCTCACTGGTAAACAATGTCACACTGGCTGGGAAGGCAGGCCCAGGCGGCTCAGAGCGTGAGTACGCATCCCGGATGAAGGACGATTAGCGAGTTCACAGACCATTTGCGAGCCAATGCTTAGACGAAATAACGGGACTATTTCCGAAATGGACGACTTTCAGACCGGACGATTATTGAGGGACCACTGTACTTCAGTATGTTGAGCTGAAGAACTATATACAGACAGATAAAACATGCTGAAGTAGAAAAAAATATTTAAAAGATTCTTCCTCATCCACTATTAATTTTTATTTTATTATACAAAATTAGGTGCATATATATTGTGCTGCAGCCATACTCTGAAAGCTGGTTTTGTTCTCATTATGTAACTGTTTCCCCTATCCTATTATATCATACAGGATGAATTATGTGAATGAGGTGATGAAATCTGTCAGCCTGAGCTGGGAAACTTCAGTAATAAAATAAGGATGTCATTAAGTATTCCACTAGGTTCATTAGTTATGGGAGCTTAAAATGTTTATTCCAGCATTACCAGAGATTATAATAACTTGGGAATACCCATATTTCAGGATGGCCAGTAATCCCCCCCCTTCCCCCCCCCCCCCCCCCCCCACACCACACACACACACACACAACAGGGAAAAATGGGATTATGAAGATATTCTCATCACTGATGAGGTAGGGGTAGGGGGGAAAGGTAGAAATTAACCCTTTCACTGTCGGTCCCATAATGTTAGGGCTTTCAAGCCAGCGTTGGTCCCGTAATACTATGCCAAAATTCTAGCGGCTTCCAGTCTTGCGGGAGATAGCTGGTAGGCCTACATATGAGAGACTGAGTCTGAGTGGTCAGTATGCACAGTATAAAAAAAATCCTGCAGCACACAGTGCATGAGAAAAAAAAATTGCAACTGTTTTTGGTTTAAAACAGCAACTTTGCAGTGTATTTTCATGTGGTATTTATGGTTGTATTCTCATTTTCTTGGTCTTATTTGATAGAATGAAAGATATATTACAGAAATAGAGATGATTTTCAATGGTTTACAGACTAAAAGTACCTTAAAATTGAGCTCAAATTAGCGAAAATGTTCTGTTTTTGCTGATGTTCAAGAGTAGACAAACACGTCGTCTCCATACATGTATGTGACTAGTGCTTTCAAGAGTGCACTGAAGAGGTGTTAATGTTGCAGTTTAAAACCAATGTAAAGCACTTCAAACAGTGATGGAGTGAATATGTGAAGTTTTTCTTTCGGGCCACCTGCTTGTGGAATCGCTGTGATATTAAAATTTACAATAATGCAGTAGTTTGCATAACAGTAACTTCTATTTTTTGTGTGAATAAAAATTCAAAATGGAAAGTAAGCGTAGTACAAGAGGGGACTGGAGACATGACTAATGAACAGAGAAAATGTTATTTTAGTGCTAGGAATATTTGCATTATAAATTCTGGACCCTATTTTGAAATTGGCCAAATTACCAATTTCTGATTGCTTTATTGAGTAGTTGAGATAGATAAATGGACAGTTTCTTGTACTCGGTTGAAAGAACAAAAGGAGCTCTAGTGAAATAGCTGTGTTTGGTAGACTGGAGCAGTGGAATTGACTGAAAACAGGGCTCAAAGTGAGTGAAATCGCTGATGTGTAAATATCAAGACCCTAATTTCGCAAGAGCATAATTCTGTAAGTTTTCCATCAAATTTTTTTTTATTCTTTTATTTTTAACCCTTAAACTGTCGAAACGTAGATCTATGTTCACTCGTGTGGCGCTCTTGAGTATTTTGAAAAATAATTTTTTTTCATGAAGAGCACATTTTTCTACACGTTTTAGGATTAAAAAAAAATTTTTAGGGTCAGTACTTACCAAGATATAAGACCATGAATTTGGCTCTGGATGCTCACCTGATGGCAACATCTACTCCTGCCATTTGCAGAAGTATTGCTGATATACCTTTTTTTCTCATTTTTATTTTAATTTATATATTTTTTATGTTCTGATAATTACAATTTATAATAGTTCTTGTGATTTCATAGCCAATCTTTGTTCTGACACTAATATTAGGTACTGAAATAGTGCTTAAATAGTCACAATCATATTGACAGGTATTTATAGGTCCCAGCAATGTTTTAGATACCCTGGCATATACCTTGAAGTATGGTGTTATGAAAGGCATCCCTATACTGTTGACAGCCCTGTGACATTTGATAAATGCCCACTGCTCCAGCTAACCCTCGCTGTGTTTGTTATCACTGTTACACAAACATGTCTTTGTCTGTCTGTCTCTGCTTATCTGTCTTTGTCTGGAGTATACGTATATCACACTCCTTGAAGAATGGTGTTATGACAACTGTTGACAGCCCAATGACATTTGATACATGGGAACTCAGGGAACCCTGGCTGTATTTGTTTTCACTGATACACACAAACATGTCTATCTTTGCCTGGAATTTTTGGGTTATCCTAGGTAATTTACACTATGTATAATGTACTTGTGTGCATGAGAGATAGAGATATATTCAAATAGAGATATAGACAGAGACAGCCAAAGCAAGTCAGCCAGCCAGCCAAATACATAAGAATATAAGAAAGAAGGAACACTGCAGCAGGCCTACTGGCCCATGCAAGGCAGGTCCATGTCCCCCTTTCCCCCCGGCTTAGACAAATGACCCACCTAGTCAGGTCATATCCATTGAAGGAAGGAGCATGACATCAGACCTAGTAGCACAAGCTAGTCAGGTCCAACTCCTACCCACCCACACTCACTCATGTATTTATCTAACCTATTTTTACTCTTAAAATGGGAGTGTTAATGCGACACGGCATCAGTGAATACCTGGTGTTTGCCATGCTATTTGCTCTAGCTGGCGCTCAGTTGAACTGGTGCTCCCACAAGGTACTAAGTGCTCCCAGATTTTTTTTAATACTGTGCAAACTGAGTGCACAGACCCATTCCTTCATGTCTAGGTGACTCAAGTCTATTGTGCCAAATTTGAAGGAATGAAAAGTAAAACGTTGATCTACGTTTGGAGTGCTATGTGTGCAAATGTAGATCTACGCTTGGACAGTTTAAGGGTTAAACTTCTTCGGCACTGAGAGCAAGTTTGCAAGCAGGGGTCTCGATAGTGAAAGGGTTAAAATATATGAAAGATTATACAGGTATTAAAAAATTTATCTAATGCATGCAGTCTTCTGTATCAATATACCTAATTTTTTTCTACATAGATTGGTTGGTGGTGCTGAGTATTTGTTCCAAGCCAAAGATGAAGAGGAGTTGACGGTGTGGGTTGGTTCTCTTCAGTATGCAACATCATCTGAAGGATCAGCCGGTCCTTCTCGTTCCCAGACCCTCCCAGCTGGCTCTGAGAAGAAGGATGAGCCCAAGAGACGCAGCTTCTTCACCCTCAAGAAGAAATAATGGGCTGAATGTCCATAACTGTTCACTCTCCCTTTTATTTTTTTTATTTCTCAGCCTACACTTATTACCTTTACAATAATTTCCATTTCTTAATCTCCTTAGCAGTATCTTACTCTTCCAAGCCCAGTTTCAGACCCAGTGTGGTATATATACATAAGAATTGGATTGCTAGCATTGGTCTGGGGGCATGTATTATTGGCTGCTGTTTCATTGCTACTGGGAATGGAATAAGAATAGAATTTGCTTTTGCATCAAGTTTCTTTTCATGTAATGTTTCCCAGACTGGGTCTGAACAGCAGTAGCATCATGAAATCATGTTAATTTTCAAACATCCAATTTTTATTCCCTTGTTCAGTTAGCAATACCACACAAGGTATTATTTTTCCCAAGGAGTATAAAGTGTTGATAGTTTTGTGTAATAGCTCTGGTGGAAGAATGAGAGTCTGTGCAGTTTCCAAATGTCTGCCTAGCACTGCCATGGCTGAGTTTTCCGATGAATGATCCTCTTTTTGTAGAGGTGTGTGTGTGTGGAATTGTATATTTAGTGTTATGTCAGATGTACCTTACTTTACAGAAGTAATGATTTGTTAATTTTATCTGTCTATAGCTGTGTAGTATCACAGTTTTGACTAGATAGCACATAATTGTATTGTACAGAAATGTTAGAATCGTACCTATTATGCTGCTTTATGCTTACATTTTTAGAAATATAATATTTCATGTTTCACTTCATAGCTGTTCAAATCATTACCAGAGTATGGAAGGCCAGCCAGTATCATAATTTTTGTGAATGGGCTAATTCATTCTGCTTTAAAGTGTAGGTGTGGCACAGTTATGTTTCATTTAATTTTTAAAAATTCAACCTTATCTGGTCTTAGTCTACAAAATCAAGTTCATCTCTACATCAACAATGAATTGAAGACTCCACGAGTAGTTCTTGGAGCAGCCGCCACCTACCAGATGGCCAGTTTCCCAAGTGGTCAAGATGAACACGGTATGGCTTGCCCTCACTGTGCTTGATTTTGTGCTTTAATTAACGTCTAATTACATGCTGACTAGTTAACTGCTGGAATCTCTTGTGTTAGAAATTTTTCTACACTTTCTAAAGTTCTGTAATTACATTGGGAACTAAAGCCTATACATTCTAGTCAGGGAACTGTATATTACAGGTATAAGGTTCATCTCAGTGCTGTATACCATTGTGTATATGTTACCCAGATAGGTTGAGATGCCTTAAAATCCATCCCTTATACATGGTTTATGTTATGCATCAGTTTTAAGATTTTTAATATTTGTTCCTGATTGTATTAATTGTTTTAATAAGTGTTCCCTTTGTATAGCCCCATTAGTATTCACAAGAGCTCCAGCAGCACTTACTGGCAGCACTATGGTGACTAACAGCAATTTTATGCATTGTTCCACAAGCTATAGACATCTATCGGTCATCTACCACTAACTTTTTAATGGAGGGATGTTAGATACATGCTTACTAGCTTTATAGCTGTAGGATAAGGTTTCTGGCTAAATTGAGAGAGGTAATATTAATTGTTACAGATAGTGACCACTGTATACAGTATCATATATTGTGACACTTAAATAAAATGGTTTTAAGCTATGAGATGCATTTTCATTTATACTAACAAGTTCAAAGCTTTTCTCTCTATTTGAGAATTTCTGTTTCATATCAGAACTGTAATCTTATCAGTTGCTGTTTTTCTAAAAATCTGACCTCTTCAAGGGGGCAGGGCTTGGCGTGGTGAAGAGGCTCTTGGTCTGAGGAATTAGACCTGATGGTCTCCTTCCTCAGACTGAACCTAATTACCCCCCCCCCAATCCTCCATTTTCCCTTTCCTTCTCTCTGTCCCTCCCTTATTCCCTTCCTCTTTTTGGCCTGTAGGATTCTTCCCACAGCCCTACTGGTTCCTAGGTAGGGGAAAGGGTACTGGGGTCCATCCCATTCCGTTGAGGTTCTTGGAGGTGGCGTAGTTTGCCGCCGTGGAATCTGGATCGCCTGGAGATGTCTCAATCCCTCTCCGGTATCCCGGGGGGTGACTTTGGGTGTCTTTCGGGCGACTGGTATATCTGGAAGCCACCTTTCGGATTCCGGGGCTGGTGGCCGAAGGAGGTATGCTTTGTGGAGCGGATATCCTGCCGCCCTCTCTTTTGTCCACGGAGGTAGCTTGGCAGATGTGAGGTTGCTATCCCGGGTTGCTGGTTTACTGGCATGAAGGGTAGGGTATGGCACGGGTTCCATGCTGCATCTGTGCTACTTGCGGTTCTGAGGCCCTCTTGGGCGCGGAGGGAGATTTCCAGCCTTTTCATTCCTCCTAGGAACTATTCCTCCTTGCTCCCCCTCTTTTTTTATTTTTTTTTTTTTATTTTTTTTCTTAAAAACAAAAAGACAAGAAGTAACCTAACCATGGAGATCCCAATCCATGAACCTCCTACCCCCGGGCCCCTTCTTGATACCGCACCCCATTCTGACCCTGCCTCGTCTTTTGACCACTCTTCGGACACTCCTGATGCCCCTGTACCTCTTGCTGGTGCTGTTTCCTCGCCTACTTCAGGTACCGGGGCTTTGACTGACTCCTTTGATTTGTCTGACCTTCGCTCTTTGACTATGCTTCCAACCTCTCCCTCTACGATGCGGCAATTTTCGAATTGCCAGCCCGTTTCACATCTGACCAACTCTGGTCCCACTCCTAAAGGCCAACGACAATTGCCTGATGATGATGCTTCACCACCTTCTCGTTCTGCTCAGAAAAGATCAACCCGTCATGCACTCCCTTTCCACGCTCAGTTTCGGAATGCACAATGGACTAAATTCTTTACGACCAACTTCCTCTAGTGCCTATCTTTCCAACCATAGTATTGGCAAGGCGCTCCTACGTCATGTTGGTAGAGATATTTCCCTCTATGCTCATGAGAGCGGTACATGCATCATCACTGTCCAGAATGCTACCCAAGCTCATGATCTTTCTCTTTCGCATATTGATACTATTCCGGTCACTATCGAAAAACATCATTCCCTCAATTCTTGTAGTGGTACTGTCATTCTGCTCCATACCATAGTCCAACAGAATTTTCAGACATGTGGCCATGACATTCTTGAACTCCAGGATCTCCCAATCCTCAAGGTACACACTTATGTCCTTCCTGCCCGTGGGCAGAGGCGATACCCTTGCAATGTGGTGCGATTAACTTTTGACAACCGTGAACTCCCATCCTCTGTTTATGTAGCAGGACATCGGTTACAAGTTCGAACGGTGACCCCTACACTGCAACAGTGTAGAAATTGCTGGCGATTTGGTCACCCAGCGAAATATTGCAGATCTATGCCTGATGACCATTCTAATACGTCTTGCGGTCAACCTCCCTCTTGCCTTAACTGTCATGAGGCTCGCCCTTCGTACTCTCGCCGTTGCCAGGTCTACTCAAATGAGCGTGAAATCTGTTGCCTCAAAGAGGCAGAGGGTCTCCCTTATGCTATGGCAGTTTCTCATCTCCGCCTCCAAGGGAGACTACCCCGTGTTCCTTATTCTCGTGTTTCCAAATGTCCCCCCACTTCTGGGGTCCCATCTTCTGCAGCCTCCTCTGTGGTTACCCCTCTCATAGCCACTCCTATATCTAATTCTTTTGCTGTCCTGGGCTCAGACGTCCCTACTACAACACCTGAGTCTGTTCTCACATCTTCGCGTCCTTCCTCACAAGCCCCGGTATTGACAAGACCTCGTACGACACCTACCAATCGCCCCTCTACTTCTCAGAAGTCCAAAAAATCCCCATTGCTCAATCTTCTTTGCCCCCTCCTTCCCTTCTTCCACCTCCGCATTTTACCTTTCCAGTCCCTGTGCCTAGTTCTTCCCCTCTCACTGGCTCTATTACAAGTGTGGAGGTTCACCCACCTCCTCGTACTGTGCCTTCTACCCGTCCCCTCCCAAGTTTCTCCCTCTTCTGCCACCTCGCAGGTTTCTGCCTCTTCTGTCCCCTCCCACACTTCTTCTCCAGTCCCCTACACTCTTTCATCCCCCCTACTTTGGTACAGTCCATTACTGTCCCAATCTTTACTCGCCCTCCTCCTCCTACCTCCAATATGTCTTTGAGTTCAGAAACACTTGAAGCCATTTCAGAATATATTGCAGACTAAACCTTCAACGGACACTGATCCACCTCCTGTTCCTTCTCCTCCCCCCCCTCCATCTCCACAACTTTCTTCGCAATGCTCCAATCCTTTGCTGCTTAAACATCTTCCGATGCCACTGCACAGACTTTTCTAACCCCCTCTAGTCCGTAGGTGCCCTTACCTGCGGATTCCTGGTATTTTCCTCGTTGCCAATCATGGCCTATTTACAATGGAATATCCGCAGCCTCGGGTAATCGGGGTGAGCTTCAGATGCTGCTTTCCCGGTTTTCTCCTGTCGGTGTTTGCTTACAAGAACCAAAATTACACTCGGCTGTTTTCCAACCCATCTCGGGCTATAATTTATTGTATTCGGATCCTTTTTCTGATGGAACCTTTAATGAAAGTGCCCTTCTTCTACACGGTGATATTCCGTACTGTCCACTATTTGTTCATACCTCGCTGCATTACACTGCAGCCCGTATCCACTTGAATAAGTGGTTTACAATATGTTCTTTGTATCTCTCTCCTTCTCAGGCATTATCTATCCCAGATTTTGCCTTTGTTTCATCCTTTCCACCGCCACTTCTGTTACTTGGTGATTTTTATGCTCACTATTTCCTCTGGGGGGGGGGGTCTCATTGTGACTCGAGTGGCATTCAGTTGAAGGCTTTTCTCGCCTCTCACCCCCTCCTTGTTTTAAATACGGGTACTCCCACCCATTTTGGTCCTCGTACTCATACTCTCTCTTGCATCGATCTATCAGTCTTCTCTTCCTCCACTGCACTAGACTTCGCCTGGTCTGTTCTAACGGACTTACGTGACAGCGATCATTTTCCAATCATTCTTACTTCTCCTTCATATTCACCACCTCTCCGTAGTCCTCGCTGGCAATTTGATCAGGCAAATTGGGACCTTTACTCGCAACTTACTGCTTTCAGTGAGGTTCCTTCTTCATCCTCCATTGATAAGCTCCTACACCTCTTCTCGACATCAGTTTTAACCGCAGCTTCACATTCTATACCCCAAACCTCAGGCAGGCATTCTCAGAAGTGCGTGCCTTGGTGGTCTCCTGCTTGTGCTTGTGCAGTACGTTTGAAACGCGCTGCATTGGGCAAGTACTGGTACAATAGAACCGCTGAGAGACTTCTTGATTTTAAGCAGAAACTTGCAGTCGCTCACCATGTCATCCGTGACGCTAAACGCACTTGCTGGTAAGATTGTTTCCACCATCACCTTTGCTTCCTTTGAGTGCAGTCTGGAAAAAAGTGAGGAAACTGAGTGGTAAATACTTTCCTGACCCGGCTCCTGTTCTACGGGTCGCCGGTGTTGATATAGCAAACCCTCTTGACGTTGCCATTGAAATTGGCACTCGTCTGGTCCGTATTTCTCGGGGGCTCCATCTATGCCCCTCGTTTCTTTCCTCAAAGTCTGCCAGAGAGTTAGCACCCTTGGACTTTTCTTCTCTCAGAGAAGAACAGTATAATGTGCCTTTTACACTTCAGGAACTGGAGGCAACACTCTCAGCTTGTCGATCATCGGCAGCTGGGCCCGACGACATTCATATTCGGATGTTACAACATTTAAATCAGTCAGCCCTTGCAGTCCTCTTACACCTCTTCAATCTTATTTGGTCACAAGGAGTTCTTCCCCAGCTGTGGGAATCTGCCACTGTTCTCCCTTTCCGCAAACCAGGTACTACGGGACATGATGCCTCCCACTATAGTCCCATTGCTCTTACCAGTGCAGTTTGTAAAGTGATGGAACGTCTGGTAAATTGACGTTTAATGTGGTTTTTAGAGACACACAAGTCTCTCCACTAGTCAATATGGCTTTCGTAAGGGCCGTTCTACCATAGACCCCTTACTATGCTTGGATATGTATGTTTGTAATGCCTTTGCGAATAACCACTTGGTTACTGCCATATTTTTTGACCTTGAGAAGGCATATGACACAACTTGGAGGTATAATATTTTGGCCCAAGCCCACTCCTTAGGCCTCCGAGGCAATCTACCATCCTTCCTTAAGAACTTTTTAACTGAGACATTTCTGTATTCGGGTTAATAATGTGCTCTCCCTGGACTTTGTCCAAGCTGAAGGGGGCTGTAGGGCAAATTTCCGCGTGCGCTCACCGAAAAATCGAAAAAATATGGAAATTGAGTTATATATACATGTACTGAAAAATAGCTCAACTCTTTGGCAACACAATGGTACCAGAATGAATGTTCTACGACGTTTCTACAAGAAATTATAGTCATTTATATCAGGTATGGTGACGGCGATGTTGGTACCGAGTCTGCTCACGGCCCATATATTTTTTGGAGTTATTTTCTTGTTTTTTATCGCCTTTTCTTGCATTATTCTTTCTAATATAATTGACTATTTGGCATCATAAAACAGTAGGCGGGACCTATCCGCAGACTTAGTGACTACCGGGAACCAGATGGGAACGCTCGGCAGTGTTCCCGCGCCCGAGGTGCCAGCCAGGAATCGCCC